AGCTTACCCCAAGCTAAAGAGAGTTATTTTTTTTTAAAAAAAATGTATCACCTTTCTGCAGCCATCTGCTCATAAAGTTGGGCCACTGAGAATTGCATGTCAAATAGTCAAAGGTCCAAACATTCAAATCACAGCTGGGGATTAATAAATACATGATGTATATATCCATTTCCAGAAGTCTCATTTAGGCCATGACAAGAAAAATAAGGGAAGAGACTGAATGTATTAAATTATACCAAATGCCTATTTACTAGAAATGCATCATTTAGTTTTGCAAGCTGGTCTTCTTATCGATGGAGCTATCAGATGTTCTTCGGGGCCACTGGAAAAGTCAAAGCTCGAGTAGAAGATCTCTCCAATATGCCCTCTTCTTTACCCAGAATCTAATAAAGATCATTAAATTACATGTCTCTTCCTCCCCCTGAAATCAGAGCTCACTACTCTGATATTAGAGCTCAGGAAATAAGGTATGACAACTTCCTCGTGAAATTTTAGAAGGCAGTGCAGGGGTCTGAAGGACAGGCCTGCAGCTGCAGACATGGGCAGCTCTAATTAACAATTCACCCTGCTGAGTAAAATCTAATCTAAAGAGAGAAGAAAAAAGGAACTCGGTTAGCTCAGACTGTCACCTACCTGCTCTTTCCATGCATGCTCCATTTCAATCATGTAGTAGTTCTCTCCTCTTGCACTCTCTCCCATACACACATTCTCTGCTGGAAGAGAGGAAGCTTACTTCACAAATGAACAAAAATATCTGAGTTAAGCCCACCACTGACCATCAAAGACAATATCCTTTCTCCAACAACTCTCTGATTTTTAAGAAAAATTGAGAGAGAACCAATGGAACTGAATGGAATTTACCTATTTAATAGATAAAAATAAGACTCTTAGCTAAATTGGTTAACATTTGGCTACACAGGGTGATATGCTGAATTCCCCAAATTATAGCACTAGAAGCCAGTTTGGCACCTATACATTGCATGAATAATACAGATTAGTGGACCAAGACAAAAACTAGCAAGACTTAAATTTATGTTCTAAAGTTTGATAGCAATCCTTCTTCTTCCACAACTGGATGCTGCCAGGGATATACATCCAGATGCATAGCATGAATTTATAATTAAATATCTAGGCCTTTTCTGCAACTAGGAGAGAATCTAATTCCTCAGATCAAGGAAAGTAAGTTTGCTTTCAGACTGGTGTGCCTTTTGGTCACATGGAGTCTCATTAATCTATATTAAAGCTAAAACAAAAAACAGTATTTTGTATCCCTATAATGAGCCTTAGCCATACAAAAATATACAATCTTGTCACTTACATTTCAGTCATGATAAAAAAAACATAATTAAATGTTCCAAGGATGTAGTATCACATCCTTGTTTCTAGGAGTAGGCTCAGTTTTACTAGGATTTAGCTTTGAAATAGCAAAGTTACTTTCTCTGCTCCATAAAGATATTATTCAAGCAGAACTTGAATGACTGATTATTTGCTATATGGATGGTATTAGCACGGGTGGGATTCAAAATTTTTAACAACCGGTTCTGTGGGCATGGCTTAGGTGGTGGGTGTGGCTTAGGTGGTGGGCGTGGTTTAGTGGTCATGTGACTGGGTGGCTTGGTGGTCATGTTATTGGGTGGGCGTGGCCAACTCAATATCACTCACATTGAGGCACGCATCTCCTCGCCAGGCCTCTCATGACTGTGGGGAGGCTGCAACAGTTCTAAGTGTGAAAAACGGTCATAAGTCACTTTTTTCAGTACCGTTGTAACTTTGAATGGTCACTCCACACAAGCAAAGTACCAGCAAAGGAGGGGGAAAAAAACTCCAGAGAAGTTCCTGAGACAGGAAGTCTAGTCCTGCCAAGAATGTAATAAGGGTTAACGGAGAGGCAGTTTCTGTAAGCTACACCAGAATGTTTCCTTCCTGCCTTCCTTACAGGATTAGGCCGGTAATTTCTTCTAACAGCCAGTTCTTCGAACTGCTTAGAATGTTAACAACCAGTTCTAGTGAATAGGTGCGAACTGGTAGAATCCGACCCCTGAGTGTTAGAATAAGGTGTGTATGAAATAATGAGTCTAATTCATGGGCTGGGAACAAGATGAAGGCACTCCATGAGGATATGGCAGGAAAAAAATGTGTTCCATGGTTAGATACACATGAATAAATGACTTGTGAGATAGTGAATCTTTGCTCACCTTCTCTTAGTTCTACCTTTTTGTTGAGTCTGATTTTTCTGAATGGAAAAGGTTGTTAAATGTAAAAATCGACATAGGTAAGTTCTTTAGTTTTTACTTAATTTTCTTCTTGTCATATTGGAAAAGCCATTTATTTTCTTATGTGTAGATATTGTACATTATCTGTACAATGTGTAGATATTATACATGATCTTATTAACTGAGGTAATTATGGTATCACCCAGATGCTTTGGTTCCAACACAAGTCTTCCTCACATTTGGATATATATGCAATCCATTCTATAAATCTAAATTGCTATCTTACTAATACCCATACCAAATTGCTAGCAAATACAATCAGGAGTTATGTGCCTTGCAACTTTAAAATGTTGTCTTTTTATAAATGAAATCAAAATCATAACTAACCTAGAAAAGAAGAGACATTTATATGTTAGTGTATAAAAAGCCCTCCATGTATTCAGAAACCAGGCAGAATTGAACCCCTCAAGAGAAGCAAATACACCTGCCAATCTTTTCAAATATTGCCATGGTACAAACAAGTTATCAGAAGTTATTTTTAAAGTAATCTATTAAAACATCTTCAGGCTGTGATTAGTATTAGCCATAATTTGGATTGTTACAACAGAGGAAATCTAAGATGACTAACAGCCTAAATAAATGCTTCCATGGGCCACACTTGGGTTCTCAGAAAGAAGAGAGAAGTAGAATGGTGCAGTTCAAGGCTCACTATGGTTTACAAATCATTGCTCCATATCAGCCTTTGCTCATCTGGATCCTTCAAGATGTTTTGAATGACAATTCTTATGAACCCCAGCCAACATGGTAAATGAACAGCGACTATAAGGATTGTAAGATAAAACATCTGAATTTCTACACTAAGCAAAACTCTACCATACAATATGAAGCTGTCTATCTTCTACCTCAATCCCGTGAAATCCATTTATAATGTCCTAGCTTAATCTCTTTCATTTATGGATACTTCTTGAAACGGCTTATAATAGAACTCAAATTCATAGTCCTTCCATTATCACATAAAACAAACAAACACTGCATGGGAAACATTATTAGAATTCTTGGCAACATCTGTAACTACAATCCATTCAGCTTTCAAATACCACCATCGCTATTCATCCCCTCAAGCAAACCCAACTGCCACGTAAATTTCTATATGGTTAATGAAACCTTTGTTAATGAAGTAGTTTTTGCCCATTCTTGATTTCTTCAGACCCTGGCATTTTGCAAAAAGCAATTGCTGGGGATTTAAAAGAATGGAACATTGTTCATACATTTTCATTTCTTTCCTCTTGTGCAAATGACAGTAAGGATGATAGTGTGACTTCAATAATGAAGATCTTAAAGCAGTGAACAATGGTGTAGGAAACTCAGAAATTAGAATATATTTATTCATTAAATCCTATTATAAATCATAGTTAAAAAGCGGACATTGTTTACAAGACTTCTGATTGATTTTACAAAAATGGATCAGTGTCCTCTCCTCTCAATATAAGTAAAGAGGACATGTTCCTCTTTGATTTTCTAACTGGCTTGAACCTAAAAAGTATTTGTTTCAATCTAAAGATGGCAAAATTGCTACCCTGAGTCATAATTCTTTGAATGTAATTGAAAAGTAATCTGGAATAACAATTTGAGGAAGCCTGGTTATTTAGCTTAATGCTCTTTTTGTTACACTGCAAAATATCATCAGATAGAAAACCTAACATAGCTAAGACAAGCAAGTATTTTTCTAAGTTGCAGATAAGTCAAGTTAATTATATTAAGGCATTAAATATTCTGTGTGGCATGATACCCCCTAACCTAAAACCTGACAATTCACTAATGACCTTGGTGAGCTTCACTTCTGTCACTTTTGTTGTTCTATAGGCCTCAACCCTAAAAAGAAGAGGGGAGAGGGAACCCTTCAGTCTTGAATAGCGGGACTCTGAAATACATTTTCTGATTCTTAAAATGTTATGCAACATCCAAAGCAATCCAATGAATTTAAAAAAAGGATTGCTTTGAAAGAGTTACGGAATAATGGAATTCAATTAGGAATAAAAAATAATGGCAAAATTCCAGTTTGTATGTTCAAGTACTTGCAAGTCATTTTGGAAATAAACAATTGTGGGTAGAAGTAGATTATGCAATATAACACAGTCAAAAGCTTTGGAACAAAGGATCCAATCTCAAAACCATCCAAAAGTATTTGGCTATTTTCCATATTCTCCAAAGGACATCAAAAGATAGACTCGGATTTGCTGGACTTCATGGAAATTGTATAACTAACTAAGCAAGTTGGAACTTAGGGGAAAACTTTGTTAAAATGTTTTTAGTTAAAACATTTTAACTAATATACCTAGTAAATACATATATAAAGAGAGAGAGAAAGAGAGAGAGAGAGAGAGAGATTGGGGAGTGCGAGAGAAGACGCTGCATCTTCTGTCCTTTCGTTTCTTAATCATTTTACACACAGAAATGCACATACCGAGACACATTTGCAGATAGAAAGTTATTCAATATCTAAAACTCATAACAACCAACCTTTCTATAAGCATTAAGGTATCTTTGACTGTATTTGTCACTTCATAGAAGTCAAAAGACATCAACCCAAAAATGGCAGGAGAGATACCAGCCACAAATTATACACAATACTCTCTGTAATGTTCATTGAGCAGAATCCAAGAATAATTTGCCTAGGCAAAGGGCTATTTCAGAAGTTGAATCCAAAAACTCATTTAAAGCAAAACACTTCAGATGCAAAGACAAAAGAGCAGTCCTTATGGCACTTAAGCCATTGTTTCTTCTTACCTTTAGGTACATTAATGTCAGCGTAAGTGTGGATCTGAAGAAAAGATAAGAGATGTTTTTTTCAGATGCCCAGAACAAAGCAAACATGCATTGTTTTTCACCAACGTGCTGAGTTCTTTAAAGAAGAATACAGACCATGGTTTCTGATTTCCAGCCTTTTCAGCAGAGTGAAAAATGGCCCATTGAATTCACTTTTCTAGAGCAAAGAATCTTGTCCATTCTTGGGATAAGACCAACTTGGCTTCTTCTTTTCATAGACAGACTTTTCCTAAAGGCAACTTTGGTTCACGCAACCTACATGGTGCCAGGTAGGCCTTTGCTACAACTTGCTTGGCCAAGACATCAACACACTTTCCACAGGCCTGGGATGACATTGCCAACTCTTGAAAGATGGATGCTGAAACAGTGCAATTTTAAAAGAAAAAAGAAAATCTTATTCCAAAGCAAACTCTGACATAACCCTCACCAAACTTTCTCTACTCACTCAATCAACTACTCTTCTAACAAAAAGAAAAGAATGGAAAAAAAAAACACTTGAGCTTCACAAAGCCCTAATCCTGAAAATGGTGGAGGGGTGAGTTCATCAAGCCCAAAACAGGTTGGGATCAGAGGGAAGTAAGCAGCTACATTGGGGTCAGCAGGCTGTTGCTGCACTGCTAGCAGCAAGGAAATGAGTCTGGTGAGTCCCACCATCTATCTTTTATAGTGCTTTGTTTATGAGCCGGGTGCCCCTATTTCATAAGGCCGTGTTTGCTAGAAAGCACATGAAGGAAGGAATGATGAAGATGACTATTAACACTAGTCCAAGGACACCTTTTCTTAAGCCTCTTTCATAGCAGCAGACATGGAGGAACAGCCCGGCAATTGTTCTCTCAAATGTCACCTTTCTGAGCAGGCCACTGTGCAGGCAAAGCTATGCTCCTGTTGGAAGGAGGTTCACTCCACCCCCACCCGCCTTTTTTTTTTTTTAAAAAAAGCATGAACTTTGCTATTCTCCTCATATCTCCAAAGGACCTCAACTGACAAGGGATGCTTTTCTTCTTTTCCCAGCTGTCCTCTTGATCCACCTTCCCTCCCCTTTTCTTTTTTCTTCTTCGCACAGTTTGAACAATTTGTCTCTGTTCTAGCACATTCCTCCAGCCCATTCTTTGGGTGCCCAGCATAAGATTTACACTGAGTGGAAGAACGGTGAGCAGGGGGAAGGGAGGGAGGGAGGGAGGAGAGCAGAAGGTAATACAAGGCCTACATTTAGATAGACCAGAAAAGCGAGCCAAATAGCCTGCAAGATTGTTGTGCCATCAATTTAATACCTGAGTGAGGAAAACAAAGAGCCTTCAGAGAACTTCTGACCCGTCCTCCATCCAAAAGGGATCAGGAGAGAAGATAACGTGAGTTGAAAGAGAAGGCACAAAACATAATTAGAGCTATCCAAGGAGTGGACAATATATGATGACAGAGAACCACACTTGTTAATTACACTCCAGCATTATTAAAATCTTTTTGGCATCAATAACTTCTTCTGCACAAAGACTTCGCACTCTCTTGCGCCAGTGCTTTTACTGAGAAAATCTAATACATATTTTCAAAGCATTTATAACTATCTCATTAATGACTTTTAAAAATAGGTTTCTTTTTTTGAGGCTTTCAGGTACAGTCTGTTTTGAATGCTATTGATCAGCAATTTATAACTGCCTTATAAATTCCCAGATTAAAGCCCGAAAAAAAGAGAAACCAAAATATTTTGGCTGAACCCACCTTTTAAACATATTTAAAAGTAAATGAACAAATTTAGAAAATGGTATTTAAATCCTTGCAGAAAAATTGTTCTAGTGAAATGGTATTCTGCCAGAAATTTTAAAAAAATTTCTAAACATAATATGTATATAACTCTAAGTCATTCACACTAAATGTTTCCCTATTAAAAATAATTAATCTCAATTCCAAAGTTCAAATCACTCTAGCTCAAAAATCTCACTTTATCACATAGCAGGCAAGGATTATTTCTTTTTAGAAATATTTTTATGTAGTGTTTTTAAGACGTCTTTCTGGATTTCATGATACAGAAATGGATAAGCATGATACAGAAATGGATAATTACATTTTACCTTACCAATTGTAAGTTCTCTTACTTTTATTTTTTCTGTGAAATTTTTGACAAATCACTGTCTATGCTTCTGGTTGCCATAGACTCATTGAAAAACTTCAATAAAATCTACACACCTACTGGCTGGATATACATAAGCAACTACCTCTCTATTCACCCCAGAGGATAAATCAGATTAAGAAACAAATGCCATATAGATCTTAGACACTTTTATTAGAATAGCTATAATAACAGAATCTTGCAAGTCTGAATATGTTTCCTTTGTTCCTCATTTTATCTTTATGTGAATTAGGGAGCCTATCTGAGGCATTTAAAAAAAATAGTTTCTCAGAATGGTCTTAAGCCTTTCTTATCTGATCATTGCTTTTTTGGTAGTGGATTTTCCTATTGCCCTTCAAGGCTACCCTCTCTGCCCTCTGCATGATCAGGAATTATTATAAAAGATAGGATCTCATATACATGCAATGCCAGTATATATCAAGTTGACCTTCCAGTCTTGATGAAATTCCACAGGTTAAGGATAGGAAAACCATGGTACAAAACTATACATCCTATTCACAGAATTATATTATTTTAACATGTAAGTCTCTTGACTGTGAAAATGGCACAAAGATGTCTTTGAACTGCATTTCAAGCAAGTATGTACTGCAGTAATTAGACTATTTTGATCTACATAGAAGGAGATCAAGTAACTTCACTTGTATGCAAATCATCAATAAGAATTCAAACATATTTTCCAGACCTTATTGAGAATGTACAAAAGGAACTGGAATCCAGCCAGACAAACTGTGACCTGAAAGATCAATATTAGCTTTTTTTAAGATCAGATTTAATATAGGTTATATGAAATTTGTATAAAATAAAAATTAGTTTTGAAATGTATTTGAAGTGTATGATTTCTTAGAACTGAAACTTATAATGTAGCTAAGTCCCATTTGAATTTAGGGGTGCTTATTCCTGGCCACATAGGTTCAGCTGGTAAGTAAAATAGTTTGAGACCTTTAGCTAACATGCAACCTTAATTTTCACTGTGACAAATTTATGGTGTCTGGGTACAATGGCTGGGGAATTCTGGGAACTGAAGGCCACGTGTCTTCAAGTTGGCAAAGCTGATAAACACTGTTTTAGTCTGAGAAAATATAGAAATAATACTTGAAACCCTTAATGTCTCTTCAAAACTCTCCAGAGAAGTGTTACTCAACTGTGACAACTTGAAGAGGTGTGGAGTTCAACTCCCAGAATTCCCCAGCCAGCAAAGCATTAGTGGAAAAAAGACTAAATAAAACAATCACCCTCAAAGACTAAGACGTCTTTGAGATAAAGTATTTGTACTGATATATGTTCTATAATAAAGTACAACAGAGAAGGAGATCTGCTGCTGTTTTCTGACTTTCTCACTAAAATGATCTGACTCTATCGGTTCGCTCTCATCCTTTATCCTTTATCTCATCCTGTGTTTTGGAGTGCCTGCTGTTTAGATTCTTCACTGGTTTTGTTTAACCTAATTTAAATCAAAAGCACACAACCTAGATGCTAAACTTATTCCAGTGTATAAATACAGGATATTATTCCCTCCACTGACAAATATGGCAAACTTTTAATAGAGTGGCTATCTCTGCTTATCAGATGTCAGGTAAAAGGGCTACCGTATCTAAAGCTCCTTTTAATTTCTGAGCCACCATAACACCAGCCTTTGAGGTGCTGCAGTTATATTCCATTACCCTTTTTATTATCATCTTACTAGCCGAGGCATAAAATTCAATTAGTTCAACACTATTTAGTGAGAGTTTATAACAGGAAAACACACTGATGCTGTGTCTATATTATATATCACTCGCTGAATAAACACATACGGTTCAAAGATGGCATCTTGCCATTTGGGAAGCTTGAAAGGTTTATTCGTAGGACTCTGCCAACAATTTTGTGTGGTGATTTATGTATGCTACCTACCCCTGAATTAAGCAAATTGCATCTCATTGACTTCAGGCAAGTTAAAGACAAATATGTCTTAAATATTTGCTCAGAGTACAACCTAGCAGTCTTATTCCCTCCAGCTACAGTGGCTCTTTAAATGAAAGGAGGTGATTTGCAAGGGAGATCATTTAATCTTGTTTTGCTGCTGAAGCACATAGGAATAAGTTTATTTCTCTAACATTTTTTTTCCTTTACACTGGGATCCAAGAAACCTGAATTCCACACAAGATTAAGAAGTGGAAGGAGTGCACTCTAACCTAGCTAATTTTTTATCTAGATTGCTTTGCCTCTTGATCCGGGATTTCAAGTTTTCTTTTTAATTAACAAATGGTGTTGTGGTGATTTCAGCATGTTCCTTACATTTTGAGCCCAGCAACCATAAAGATAATAGAAGGTTCCAACTGCTTTAGAGTGATTGGGGAGTGAAATTGATATTAAATACCTGTAGAAAGTGAAGGTAATAAATACACTCAGAGAAACTGGCCTGCTGCAACAAATAATCAGCTAATCCAGGTAGAGCTTTTCCCTGTCTCCTTTTCTTATTTAAGGTCTAGACGGAAATAAAATTCAAAGCAGGAGGTGATATGAAACAAACTATTAAACCAGTGTGGCCTTCCGGAGGTGTCATAGTTGTGATAAGTATTGTTTAAATTTTACCTGGAGCTAAACAAATGTCAATAATACCTCAAGCCCAAACACGGGAAATATCTAATCAAGAAGCTGCATCAAGGCTGTGATGAGAGTGAAGTGGGAATGTTTTAACTCTCCAATTCCCATTCTGTCCTGAGATCTTTACAATAATTTATCTGCAGCTTGCAAAGATAAACATACCCTAACTAAAACATTTGTATATGACAGAATTTATCAATCTTCTAACCCTCCCCCAGATCCTTTTCAATTTGCCAAATTTACTAGAAGTTACTATACAAATAATAGTTGTGCTAATGCCCAACAAACACATCTGTTGTAATAGGGAAGCAATTGTATTTCTCCTTGTTGCCCGAATCTCATGGATCAAAAGGAGAGTAAGAGCCTGATCTTTCGCTTGAGGACTTAAAGCTTATTCTCATAAACAGCCACTTCAGTGCTGGATCATCATTTTTAAAAATTGGCTGTAGCTATACCCAATGAATGGTTCCATTACTGCCATATCCCAGCACTGGAGAAGCAGAGAGAAAGTAAACTCTTAAACCAGATTATATAGCAAATCTTAGATTCATAATGACTTTAAACCAATTTGGGTATACAGGCTGAAATAGCTGTGAGAACAGTTTCCTAGGTTCTTTAATATAAGAACCATAATAAATAAAAGCCAATGTAAGTTTTTTCATTCATTCAAGGCTCCCTTGAATCTAAATTTTCATCTGACAGTTCTTTCATGGAAAAGTTCCATGTCTATTAAGCTGATTTTAAATAAAAGTGGGAATCTACCTGGAATAGCCGGGAAATGTAGGCTATCCAGAGTTGGCTTAAGCTATCTAAAGAAAGTTTAAGAAACAATTTGCCAGAGATTTTTTTTTTTAAGGTGTACTATAAATGAGTGCTTTTGAAGCTTGCAACATAT